GAAACACGCGGACGACGACTTCCTTTGGGCTCTGTCGGCCTGAGGGGAGACCGGGACACAGCGGATCAGTAATTATATTTTTATTTTATGTAAAGGGAATTCCTCGTGGTGGCAGCACTAGAAATGTTTGGGGAAGCCCTTTTTGAATTGATGGATTCTTGATTTGGGTTGAATGATTCAGGCAAAAGGTGAGGGAAAATGTTTTTCAGCATTGTTACGGGCCCCGGCCCTGTGATATTTGTTTAAAGTACTCCCGTTCTTCTTTAATTGCTTTTGTCTGCGCATGATGCTCCCGGTCCGCGAGCCCGGGACCCGGATGCGCGGGAGTACCCGACGTGGGACGGAGGCTGGCGTCGCAGCGCGTCAGCGATTGGCCGTTCATCCCTGCGCTTCCACCAATCCGCGGATGACACCTGTGATAGCGGGGGATTGAAAAGGGACCATCTTCCGCCTGCTCGGGGCGGCTGGATCACTGCGGCCAGCTCGCCACTTTTGTTTGATGTTGGGTTGTCTCTTTGTGTTATATTGCCGGCTATTGCCTCGTTTAGTTCGTTGAGACACCTTTGTTTTTTGTTCGCAGTACATCTTGAGTAGATTTGGTACCTTGTATCTAGTTAGGGCTCTTTAGTTTATTAGATTATTTTGTTTAACTCCTATTTATTTCCACCTTAATTGCCTGTTTTTTTGTTTGTCTTCCCTTACACTGTAAATAATAAATGCACAATTTTTAGTTAAACCTTTAACATCCTGGTTTTCTTGTTACTTCCCTTTCTCCCCTAGCAAAGGGGACGTAAAAAGCATAAGAAGTAAAACATTGAGGTAGTTTGATATTTGTTATTATGTAGAGCTCATGCAGGAATAACTTGTAATTCAGGTGTTGTCACGAGCGTTCAACCTTGATGAAAGTTAAGCACATGTAGTTTCTATGCAACAGTTGGTCATTTGGTTTACAGTAAGGCCTGATAGTTTAAACCAGAGGTGTCAAACTTATTTTGGTCCGGGGGCCGTATCCAACCGACTTTGATCCCAAAGGGGCCGGATCAGAAAACTCATGGCATATAAACCTCAAAAATAGCAATAAGTTCAAATATTTGTGCAGAGAAACGCAAATCTATTACATAAATCTTTTTTTAATTGATGAACTCTTTCTTTTACAAAATATTATATTATCAACAACCTGAAACTTTAAGAAAAATGCAATTTCAACACAATGTTTTAACGTTAACTTGTTTGCAAATAGGAATAAGTCAATTTTTGTTGTAAAATCCTGCACTCGGCTCCAATTTCTCATTTTTGACATTTTTCTGATGAGGGTGTCACTGTCAACAGTCAAAACGATCGTCCTTTAAGAGCGTTTGGAAAGAGACAAGTCTTCATTTGTGCTGCTCTGGTGGGAGGGGCCACGTACAGAGACGCTGGAGACGCTCCTATGCTCAGCACGCAGAAAATTACCAATATTTTAATAGAAAATATAATGAAAATATTGCTTCGGCATAAAACCTGCCTCTTTTAGCCCGATCTTAAAGTGTGTATGTCAGGTTTTATAAATTATTTTGACTCGGTTTGGTAGGATGGCACTTGTGGTGAATATTTATCATAGTTTTACATCAGTTTTGTGTCAGTTTCTGGACAAAAGTTGAAAAGAAAAGCACAAAAATCAAAGATGTAGTGGTTCTAAAAAGGAATGCGTCTATGTTAAAACTTTCAAATGCAGCGATAATTGAACTATTGTGTCATTTAGGCAAATCTTGACCCTTTTTCACAGTTTGGTTCCAAGGTAAAAGTGATGAAATTGGCTCTGTATCTTCTGTCCGTGTTCAACCAGGAAATAAAACAAGTAGAAATCTTCATAAATATAATTACTAACATGCCATATGCACTTTAATATATCGACTGTACCCAACTTAAATCTGTCTTTTATCTTGCAGCTTTAATGAGTAATTATTTTAGGTTTGATTTAGTCAATCGTGACCAAAATGCCTCCTGCTCCTAGAATAAAAAATAAATCTGTAAATATTGTAACGTTGAATAAAATGTGTTATGTGTGTAGAATTTAGAAAGGGGAAAAAAAACATCTCAAAATTATGAAATGTGGGGAAATCTGACGGCTCTGCTTTACTTTTGGATTTTTACTGAATTTTACAGAGGAAAACCAAAGAACCAAGTCGCCGTGGCGCCATCTGCTGGAGAAGGAAGAATACAACAAACAAACACAGAACAAACAGAAATCAGGTGACAAAGTACATTGCATTATTTATTTATTTTTTGCCTGTAAACTGTCCTTTTTGATGACCGTGACCACATTTGTGATGTATTGAAATTTCAGATAAATTTAAATTGCCTTTAATTTCACTTTTGAGTCTCAGTCCCTTATGTTTAAATAAGTTAAAAACGACAGAATGAAGGTTTTATTTACTAAATCCCACTTGATTGTTTTATGGGTTAGGCTGTTTAATAGTTTTGTATTTTTTTTCCTGAAGCATCATAAACCTGACCCAGACCCCGTTGCTATGGTAACCGGTAGCCTGTCTTATTTTTAGGTTTTTCTGTCGTGTCGTTTGTTAAATGTGTTGTGATATTCAGATAATAAATTGAATAATAATTAAATACATTGAATAAATGTCTGTGTCTTGTCCGCAGACGAGCCAAAAGTGGAAAGAAGCAGAACTTTCACCCGAAGCACCTGAGACACAAGTACAAATACACACACAGGTACAAATACACACACAGGTACAAATACACACACAGTACAAATAGTGTTGGGGAGTAATAGATTACATGTACCGCAGTTATGTAATCAGAGTACAAATTATGAGTAAATGTATTCAGTTACAGTTACTCAGTCGTTCTTCCCTGGGAGGGTGACAACTGCAAGCGGTGGAAGTTTTACTGTAGAAACTTTATTTGCTTTATTTACAGCACTGTAGGCTAAATATATGGGTTTTTTTGTTTGTGTTTATATTTTGTACATGTACAGAATACTTTATACATTTTCTTTTTACTTTATATGTGTGAATAAAATGGTTAGTTGGAGTTTCGTTGGCAGAGTGAGTGCAGTGTGTGTGATGTCAAACTTTGGAGGCTGCTCTTCGTGTGAATTTATTTTTTTTTTTTCAGTTTTATCCATAATTGTATTGTGTTAGTTAGACACCTGCCATAGTGCCAAAAGCATTTTGAGCTGCAGTGCCGACACAAGGCCAAAGGGACGATGCGTTTTGGGGGCTGTGGGCTTCTACCCTGTGTTTTTAAAGTTTCATTCATATGTTAATTTGCCCTGTAATCCCTGTGTACAATAACATGCTGTGTATGTTTTTGGACTTTGGAGTGTCAATGGGGTTGGGATATGATGTCATATGGACTGTGAATGTATATGGAACAGATAAGGGGTGTGTCTCCAACCTTTAGCATCTGCCAGTCTGTTATGGGACACGTGTTGGGACAAAACCGCTGTGTATGTTTCCATGAAGATGTTAACTCAACAGTTATGCTGGTATAAAAGGCATCCAGTTTTTCTGTGCATCAGTGGGGGAACGCCGACCGCGTTGTCGAGGGACGACCGACGCACAGAGAGACGCCGCGTAGGCAAAATCATGCTGAATCAACTTGAATCTTGAGACCTGAATCTGCCTGACTCAAATAAAGAAACCTGTCTGAGAACTGTTCTAACTCTCCAAGCCTCTTTCTTAAGATCCTCTGTTCAGGCTGCCTCCAGGAGAAGCTGACAGGGCAATGACTGTATGAGAAAGGAGTTGAGTTTTGACACATGGGTAAACAGATCTGAGCTTGTGCAGGTGGAGCTGTGCTGGACCAGCCAGGTTATTTTGACAAAAGCACGAAATGAATGCAAAAGAGCCAAAACAACTGAGAAGGATCTTTGCAATTTTGATGGCACTGACTCTTTATATGTGAAAGGAATCTGCTTTGAAGCTTGTGTGAACAGTTTTGGGAGAGATATGAGCTTTTGCTGTTGAGCTGTAATCAGTGTAACAGATTACATGTACTGGAGTAATGTAATCAGAGTACAAATTATGAGTAACTGTATTCAGTTACAGTTACTGTTTCAGTGAGTGGTAATTGGATTACAGTTACTTTGTTAAAATAAATGGATTACATGGCGGTATTTTCCTGTTTTCACATTTTGGGCTATATCCCATTTTTTTTGTTTTATTTCGATAATTCCGCTCATTGTCAGAAACAGAATGCGGCAGTAAGAGCCACGTAAACGTCTTGTTAACGTTGGTGGCGTCAGTCACACAATGGACGATGTCGTTAGTAATTGTCATTGTTAAGAATCTGATTCTGCATCATTTTGAATAAAAAACATCAAATATTACAGATTTTTACTGGGCTGGCGCCTTTCTGTTTGTACTGAAAGTGATTTTATTTTATTTTATTAATAATTAGGGTGGACATAATTGAAGGCAGCAGTGATTTCATATAAAAATCATTTCTCTATCAATATTTTTAATATGGTTAAGGAAAGACTGGACTTTTTATTTTCTTTTAGCAGATAAAACTATTTATGTTCAGATATCCTGGTCTTTGCTTCTCTACAGCAAAAAATTACCTGTTCATGGAGACTTGGGCTCAACAGACAATTTGAAAAGAACAAACAAGAATTTTCAGGATGTGGTCGGTACATTCATGTCGTTTTTAAAACCATGACAATATCAAGTAATCCAAAGTATTCAGATTACGTTATTCACTTTAAGTAATTTAATGGATTTACGTTACAAACTACATTTTGGGGTATGTAATCTGTTAATTGTAGGGGAATACATTTTAAAAGTCACCTTCCCAACACTGTCTGTAATGTTGGGCAGAACTATCAAAGTGTTTGGCCAAATGATCTTATAGTTTTAAGAATGTCATTTGTGTTTCAAGAAATGAGCCAAACCAACGGAGAAAAACTAACTCCCAGTCTGACGTACGTCCTTCGCTGTGGATCCTACCTGGACGACTGAGGAATTAAACAAAATAACAAAATACCAAAGAGTCACTCCAGTAAACCATGTGCTTTTATTACCAGTGCATATGATAAACAAAAGCAGTATTTATAGTGAAGTGTGTGATATGGCCTTTCACTCCATTCAGACTGTAGCTCGATTACAGCGTCACAGCAGTGTCCTAGTCCCAGTGGTGGAGTAAAAGTAAAAAAGTACTGTACTTAAGTAAAAATTTGAAGTATCTGTAAGTTTTAAAGTGGATTATTTTTACTTTGACTTCACTACATTTGAGAGCAGGCATCTGTATTTTCTACTCCTCTACGTTTTTGAACAGGACTGAAAAGTTAAAAGTATTTTTGAGACCTGCTGAAAAGGCTGAGGATTTATTTTTAACATAATTTGAGCAAACAAAAATACACAAATAAAAACAAAAGAAAAAGGCTGATTTAATTGTTTCAACTGATCAAAATTTAGTCCAAATCTTTATCAAAATCACTACATTTGAAGCTCACAAGACGTCAAAATCTGCTTGAAATACTCTTTAAGTACATTTTTAAACAGGTAGATTAATACTTTTACTTAAGATGACTTTTTCATGTGATACTTAAACTTTTACTTGTGTATTTTTCTTTTTTGCTCCATTATTTGTACTTTTACTTAAGTAACAAAATGCAGTACTTCTTCCACCACTGGCTGGTACATGTTCAAAATGTCCTCTACATTCTACTGTGAGACATGAACAGCAGGGGGCGCCAGTGGACGATGTCACTGTAACAGAAGGTGGACAGACTAATAATACATCGTAAGCGAACTGTTTTCTAAATTTCTACGTATGGCTTGGCTAAAAGTGCAAAGATATTTCATAAAGATTAGAAATTATGTAACTGCGTGGATCATGGAAAATCAGTATGTTTTACACGGGAATTGAACCTGCGACCAGGCAAGTAAAGTAATCCAGCAGCTCCTGACCAAGATCTGAGTTGAAGTCTGGGACAATTTTTCCTACAAAACAAAATCTACACAAATATTACGGAGTTAAAATTTTGACAAAGTAGTTGCACATTAACAGAATTTGGATTGTGGATTTGATTTCCAAAACGTATCACGGTAAAAAAAAAAAAAAAAAGAAAAGTCAATTAATCTACGTTCAGACTGCAGCCTGAAGTGACCCAAATCCGATTTTTTCATCCCTATACGACCTGTATCTGATCTTTTAATGACCAGATCAGATTTTTTTCAAATGTGACCCAGGCCACTTGGATATGTGCTCCTAAAACCGATACATATCCGATCTTTTGACATGCGACTTCAGTCTGAACGGCCAAGGCGCATTCATCCCACCCACATATCAGGCTCGGAGTCTAGTCAATGGAGGGAAAGCGAGGTTAGTGACTTTGTTAATATTCGGGGGATCGCTGTATTCAGGCCAAATTGGAGGGGTCTTATCAGAACCGGGCGGTTTTTGAAATGTCCGAGGGCGGCTACAGGCGGTCTTGGCTCCAGTGTCAACGAAAAATAAGAGCCTGCAAGCCAAATACAAAGAGGCTAAAAACTCAAACGAAGCGGCCGTGGACGTGTAACCTGTCCATTTTATGAAGAACTGGACCATATTTTGGGAGACGAGCCCAGCGTTTAGGCGACTTCCGTAAACACTGAGCACACTCGCTGCTTGTAACATCGTCGTATCCTCCAATGCACATGCGGGACACTTTTGGGGAATTTAAGGGCCTGTTTACAAAAAAACACTTGCGGGTAAAAATGACAAAATATTTTATCAGAAGTGCCTTTTGTTTAGACAGCGACGGTGTTTTGGGGCTTAAAAACGCAAAATTCTGAAACCACCCTCCAGAGTGGAAAAGTTGAATATGCGTAGCGTTTCCGTCTACACTGCCCAAGACGCAAAACTCTGGTCAGATCTGCTCACGTCGCGTACACGTTTACGTCACATACATCACCACCGAGCTGTCTGGCATGCGTACCCAATCGAATTCCACACACTTTTGCGTCACCGTATGCACGCAGATTTCCTTCTGAAAACGCTCGTCTAAACATGGAATAAAAAGTGAAGACGCGACGCCACTTTTGCGTCGTCTGTTCAGACCGTCGTCATGTAAACGAAGCCTTAAGTTGACACTGGAGTTCACATACAAGTCGCAAAAAAGTAAACAACCTCACAAAAAAATCCAAACTGAGCCTTTAGTCCTGCAGTCTGAACATAGCCATAGTTACGTAGCTTTTGACGAGGAATTTTCTGGGCGGTGGCATTGGTGTAGTGGGTTAAGCATACGTCGATGAACTGGAAAGTAGCCGGTTCAGTTTTCTACCAAAGCTCAAAGTTTAAAAAGAGCACGACGTAATGATAAAAAGTTAACCAATACAATATCCCTGTACATGTAGCCAAGCCCAGAATGTACGGAACCCTATGACTGCCCTTACAAAAAAATAATAATAATAATTGAAAATAACAGAATTCATATCCATATCCCGTAATATGCATATTTTTATACAAATGTTAGTTGTAACCGTAGACTGTATAGTTGTAATGTGAATTTATGAATGGTTTCCTGAGATATGATTTTTACTGTATTGTCCGGTTAGTTAGCACTTTGAACGGGACCAAGCTGTGTGAGTGAAAATACAAGCATTTCTAATTCAGCGTTAAGTAAATAAAAATACTTGTAAAATGGTACAATGCGGTATTATTTTGGCAATATGAATTCAGTTTTGAAGTGGAATAGTTGGTACCATTATGAAAACGTATTTAAAATCATACGTTTTCTATTTTTTATTATTTGTTTTTAATCCTGAATGATCAATTTTATGTTTGTTATTATATTAAATAATAATTGCAGTGTTGTCTCACTATAATTTTGAAGTAATTGCACGTTCAAATTGTAAAACGGGTACCAATTATTCCTTTTCTGAAAATACAGATTCGATGGAAAAAATAAAAATTGAAAAAAATTATATAAATGCTAGCCTAGTGTACAAAATAAATAACTTTTTTGTCTTAATTTTTCCCTTAAAATAAAAAGAAATAATATTTAACAAAAACAATATTGTGCTGCTTATAAATAAATATGAAAATCGTGAAGCATGTGCTAAGTTAACAGCTGCCGTATTCGCACACAGGCACGCACGTTTAACATTGTGCCGCGCGTCCCTCCACAATTTGCGCCACCTGCCTGATTCGCGTCACTCAAGCTAGTCCGTTAGCCTTTTAGTCCATTAAAGGTGCATTGTGTAACTTTTCTGGTGGAGGGTCCGTCAGATACTTTTCTTGTTTCGTAGTATGGCATTAAACCTTTCTATCTTCATGGAGACCAAACCAGGCCAAGTTACAGGTCAGAGTTACAGGTTTTTTTGAGCCGTAAAACCACATTTAACGGAAAAAATGTAAGGCAGAGCTGTTTAATGTCATTACACAATGCAGCTTTAACTGAATTAGATTTATTCACTAGATATTTGATGTCTAGGTTGAAGTTTTTATTCACTTGAAACAATTTTGCGAAGTTTTTTTTGGTAATGACACAAATTGGGGAGTCAAACTGCAGCTAGCACACACACCCAGCAATCTAACTATTTACAATGTACATTCATATATACAGTTTACACACAGCCAAACAACGCACACATGGTGACAAGCCGGGCTTGACATTAGCTACACCTGCTGGCGCACGAAAGAACATAGCAATTTAAACAAGGTGACAAATAATATGTCCGTGTACGATTCGTTATTTTGAATTTCAATAAAGAACAAAAAACAATAAAATGGAAAAAAGTTTGTTATTTCATTGTTCAGTTTTAGTGTCAAACAAAAAACTGATTTTGACCTCTATTTCGAATATTTAATTCGTCATCATGCCTATTTTAATTTAGATTTTAATTTTGATATTTTATTCTCTCTGGTAGGGGTGTGCAAAAATATTTAAATATCAATATATCGTATCGTTAAATTTGATGAGACAGTATCGATATCATGGGCTGCTGTGTCGCTATATCGTCAAGAGTATTTTTTGGTATATTCTAGTAAATTATTTTGTTTCAGAGCTACAGTTTTGTTGCTTGTTTAATGGAAGGAAACTTGTTTATGCGACACATTTGACATTTTCACTGTTTTGATGATTAAAATGTTTGTGTTTCATATGAACTTTGCACAAGAAGTGGTTTAACAAAAACTTTTAGTATCACAGTCATGACTTCGCCTTTATTTTTTTACTGAACCGTATCAAATCAGGTCAAAGATGTTCATTTTGTCTTCTTATGTACTTTAACTTCTTGGGTTCTTTTTAAAGACAATACAGTAAAGTGTATTTACCTTCTTGACATGTTTCGACAGTTCTGAAGTTGGCTTGCAGCGAGCAGTCGAAACATGTCAAGGTAAATACACTTTACTGTATTGTCTTTAAAAAGAACCCAAGAAGTTAGCATACTGAATCATTTTCAGATATATCGTATCGAATTGAAAGTGCACTGTATCGATGTTTGTACCGTATCGGCAACTTCTTAACTCTCTGGTTTATTTGGCTCGGAAGTTCTGCAGCAAGAAGGACTTAACCTGAAAAACTGTTGCAGTTTTGTGGACAAAAAAACTACAGTTTTTGTGGATCTTTTTTTATAGCGACGCATTTACTTTCACGTTTTAGAAAGTCATTGTTGAATTCCATGACGAGAAACAAGAAGCAGCGATAAACTCTCCTTTGTTCAGTTGATAACATATAAACCAGAGAGAATAAAATTATGATTTTTTTTTTTTTTTAATGATTTTTAAATTTAAATTAAATTACTTTTATTATTAAATAAAATTAAAATAGGCACCAAGACAGTTTTTTGGTTGGAAAAAGAAATCTGTTTTTTTGTTTGTTTGTTTGTTTGTTTAGTTTGACACTAAAATGGAATAAAGAAATAACAAACTGTTTTCCCATTTTATTTTATTTTTTTCGTTCTTAATTGAAATTCAAAACAACGACTCGTACACGGACCACGATAGCTGATATTAAAGTTAGTTAGCTGCGTAGTGAAAGCAGTTTGAGCTCTGAAACGATCCAAATCTGGAGAGTTCTGGATAAACTACTGTAATTAAGTTAAGCATAAAATAAAACCGTAAAAGTAGTGAGCTAATGCCAAGCCCTGTTGACAATGTCCGATGTAGTGTGATATAAGTTGATAAGAAGTTTTACATTTCGCTGCTGGAGACGCCTAAAGAAGCTAGAAGCGGCTAAGTTAGCGTTAGCGCACGGCGTAAGCTAATGCTACGCGGATATTGTTCCAAATCAAACGTCATGCATTTGAACAGATTATGGCTCCTGGATAAATACTTGAAGTTTCTGTCATGTCACACTCGCAAACTGTGGGTTAAAGGGACAATATGGAGTAACAAAAAATACTAAAATACAGTATAAACGCAAAAAAGTAAACAAACACAACTGCTATTTTGTGTTAGCCTATTGTTTTTACATTTGAACAACACAGCGACATTTGCGCATATTTTACAACATTCCTATCTTACAAAAAATAAATAATAATGGTTTGAATCCTGCTTTGAGTAATACTGTTGTTGTGTCCTTTGGCAAGACACTGAATATAACATTTGTATTGCATTTGAGAAGATATTTATTGTTTTTTGTAATTAATTTTGACTGTATTTTCTGTTGTTCATCTAAAACCTTAAAACCGTAACTACTTGAGTGGTAATTTTCTTTGTTTTTACTTTTGCTTGAGTAATTATTTGATTTACATTTATTTTTTTAAAGTTCAAATTGAATATAAATATTTTAAAGTAACAACAAAACATTTTATTTGAGTTTATCTTTTGCACTTATTTGTATCAGCTTCGAAATGTCTTTGTCTTTAATTTGAATTTAAATGTATTGATTTATGTTTGTTTATTTAATTTATATTTATTTATTTTATTGTATTTGATACTTAAAGTGTATTTTAATGAATATTTGGCACCAACAATAAGCTTGTCCTTGTCAGTTTTTGTTGTTGTTATAGAATATTTGTGCTAAACTGAAAATTTCAATACATAAAGTTATTAAAAAAAAAAGAGAAATGTCTGTTTTAATTTTTTAACAACTAAAGAGAACCCATGAAAGTGCAATGGGTCCTTGTAATATCATTTTACGCCACTAGATGGAGTTGTTGTAAGTTGTAATAAAAAAAAATCTCAACATAATGCTTCATAAAGTCCCTTTAAACCCACGACCGTCTTCTGTGCACATAGTTTTTCCATCCCATAACTTAGCATCCATTACTCTACACCTCCCCTCTCGAATAAATAAGTCCAGTCTTGAGTCCGTAGTTAGGTGCAGGTGAGAAGGCCGGGTGCTGTGGTGTCCTGGTTCAGTTCTGGTTCAGTTCTGGTTCAGTTCTGGTAGAGCTGCAGGTTCTATTGCAGATAGCGGTAGACCTTAAAGCAGTGGTTCCCAGAGTCGGCCACAGCCACGTGCCCGTCGGAGGTGAGGGCCAGTCCCTGGGGCCCGTACAGGGGGTCTGCGGACGTGTTGATGTAGGAGAGGAAAGAGCCGGAGCTGTCGAAAACCTGAGAGGTGCACAGAAAAGAGAAAGGGCTTTGACGCACACTTTTTATTTTAGTTTTATCACTACGGTTTCAACATTTTGAAGTAAGTCAGCTTCAAATGACTCAAACAGTGAGAGATACAGATAATACTCCCTACAACTGTACAACTCCCTCTTACGTAACAGGTATTACTCCCTACAACTGTACATCAACTCAGATAATACATATAACACTCCCTACAACTGTACTTCTCACCCTTATGTGACAGATAATACTCCCTACAACTGTACTTCTCACCCTTATGTGACAGATAATACTCCCTACAACTGTACAACAACTCACCTTTATATAACAAACAATACTCCCTACAACTGTACAATAACTCACAGTTATGAAACAGATAATACTCCCTACAACAGCACAACTCATACTTATGTAACAGATAATGCTCCCTACAACTGTACAACTCGCCCTTATAAAACAGTACAACAATTCACCCTTATGTAACAGATAATAAATACTCCTTAAAACTGTACAACAACTCAAACTTATGTAACACATAATACTCCCTACAACTGTACAACAATTCACCCTTATGTAACAGATAATACTCCCTACAACTGTACAACAATTCACCCTTATGTAACAGATAATACTCCCTACAACTGTACAACAATTCACCCTTATGTAACAGATAATACTCCCTACAACTGTACAACTCACCGTTACGTAACAGAGCATATACAGTATAGTTGACACCAGTTTCTTGATATTTTTTGCCATTTACGTAGAATTTACCATTTACATGTTTACTCTTTGTTATTATATTGTATGTAGGGAGTATTATTAGCTGGTTTTTAGTTATACGTGTGTGTGCTGTACCTGTATCCTGCTGTTTCCCCAGTCGGCCACGATGATGTTCCCGTTGGCGTCCACAGCCACTCCAGTGGGCGCGTTGAACTGCCCATTGCCTTCTCCGTGTGAGCCGAACTTAAACAGGAACTCCCCGTCGGCATTGTACACCTGATGGTACATGACGTGTGATTATACAGTAGGCGACAGTAAAGACCACACAAACGCACATCAGCTCAGTCTTTCTCTGGAGAGACGTGGGTTCTTGTGTTACTCTTGCTTTGTTAATTCAGAATATATTTGATTCACTTTTTCGGTCTCCTGAGTTAATCTAGTTATTTAAAGGTCCTATATTACACAAACTTGACAACTGTGAGATTTAAACCATATCAAAAACAGACCTGGAGTTGTGTTTTGTTTCATTCACACATGTTTGAGTGACCATTTATTAATCTGTCAACATCTCCAAAGCCCAAAATGCTGAAGCTGTAGTTTTCAAGTTAACAGCAAGTTTTTACCTTTAGTGTAGAAAGTATCCAAATGATTCTAAGGAAGGTGAAGGTGTATGAGTTTAAAACCACAGTGGAGCACTTCCTGTATTACCACGTGACATCACAAGAGTCTTTTCTGTTTGCCTAAATCTGCAGGGTTTGTGTGTTAAACATGTGAGAATGAAACAAAACACAACTCCAGGTCTGGCAAAAAGAGAAATTCAATTTGTCAAATGGACAAAAGTTTATTTTAAACAAATCCAGGAATGTTTCAGATTTGCATTTGTATTTATTTTACCCCCACAGCTAAACTTCCTGCAGTCATTGACCTAAAGTGCATGTTTTTTTGGGATGATAGGGGAAACACGTAGCCTGATTCATTAGCTGGTTTCACTTGGCAAAAACCGCCTGACCTCGCAGCGTTAGGATTCGTTCACTCGACAGTAGACGGGTACTTTTTTCATTTAACCAGTTGCTGCGATTTGGTCGTGACGTATGTAACGCTCCGCTAACGGGACTAACTGGTATATTAAGCTTTTCCCAAATCCTGTAGGAAGAAGGGCAATAACGTCTTTCCCCTTGATAAAATTCCCCAAACATTCTCTTTGTTCCAACTTTAAATCCTCGATCTTGGGAATCGTGGCCAACACAGAATGTCTGTCTCTTCGCTGATTGGCTGGTGCCCGAACTCGAATTTCCGGGGTTTTTGCGAACTGCCTAGTGTATTCTGATTCCTGACCTAGTCACTGGAGAGAAATGAAATTGAGTGGAGGCACTAGGTGGCGCCAGGACAAAAGTTTATTTAAAATAAATCCAGGAATGTTTCAGATTTGCATTTGTATTTATTTTACCTCCACAGCTAAACTTCCTGGAGTCATTAACCTATGGTGCATGTTTTTTGGACTGATGGCCCGGAGGAAACCCACCCAGACACGGGGAGAACATGCAAACTCCACACAGAAAGGCACAGGCGACCCGGGGATCGAACCCGGAACCTTTTTGCTGTGAAGCATGAGTGAAACGACATTTTAACATAGATTAGAAAATAGTGTAATATGGACCCTTTAAGATCTCCTCTTCTTTATTGTATTGTACATTTTAGTTTGCGTTATGTGAGGGGAATTTTGTGTACATTTCTGTCTGATAGAAAAGCTTAGTGTTATTGCCGTATAGTACGTCATATGCTATAACGATACATTTTCAAGATAAACCAAAAACAAATCCCAGAGTGATTCCACATATCACAGATCGTACCTTGACAGAGTGGTTGTGGAAGTCCGTCACCACTATCTCGTTCTTGTTATTCACGGCCACAAAGTGAGGACCTGGAGGAGGCAGAGGAAGAGGCAAAGATGACGCAGCCGTTTCAACATCTACGGAGGAAGTCAACAGTGCTATTTTTAAAGGTGCACTGTGTAACTTTTCTGGTGGAGGCTCCGTCAAATGCTTTTCTTCATGGAGATGTTGTTGTTTCTTCGTCTGGAATGTTTCACAGTATGATATTAAACCTTTCTGTCTTCAGAGAGACCAAACCGGACCAAGTTACAGGTCAGATCGGTGGAGAGGCGACTCCCCATAGACTGTGTATATAAATGGACAAGTTCGCATGGGGGCGCTTCCAGTTCCTTCTGACCCTGACTCCCATTGACTTACATTGGAATATTGTGACCCCACTATTTGAAAAGGGCTGAATAAGGGCCTGTCCACACGACAACGTTTTTTGGATGAAATGGAAAAGTTTGTATTCGTTTTAGCCTTTCTCCCACACAGAGCCAATGTTTTGGGTGGGCGAACACAATGTTTTTTGAGAACAGGTTCCAGAGTGGAGAAATCTGAGAACGTCGGCGTTGTGTTGTTGTGTGGACAAGCAAACCACAGCTTTTGGAAAACGATTATGTCGCAACCCCGCCGCAGCCCTTGAAGTGGCCTCTGCGAACCGCAAAATCGTTGCCGAAATGTGTAGGTGTAGCCTACGGTAGGGTGACCAAACGTCAGTTTTTCCACAGTTTTTCAGCAGTATAACACCACATCCGCGCAGTACAACACTGCACCTGCCCATTAACCCGAGATCATATCAAAATTTACCTACGCCATGGACTGAACTGAACTAAGACTAAACCAGGACTAACCTACGACTAACCAAGGACTGATTCCAGGACTGAAGAGGAGGACTAAACCAGGATTGAACAAGGACTAAAACAGGAGTAAACCAGGACTAAACCAGGACTAAACCAGAACTGAAACAGGACTAAACCAGAACTGAAACAGGACTCACCTTCAGGACGGGCTTGGAAGTGACCCGAAGTGAGGAGAAAGGACCTATGCAGAGCTCCGCATCTCACGGAGGAAAACGCGGCAATTGTCTGATCGCGCTTTGCGGACAGACTACTCGGCGTTCTCTCTCTTAAGTCCACGATTAGTCCTGGTTTAGACCTGGTTTATTCCTGACCCACCCGTGTGTAAAAAAAAAAAAAATCAGCAAAACGGCGAGACAGCGAAAGGTGAACCGCGATATAGCGAGGGACGACTGTAGCAATGTCGCTCCTGTCAATGCCAATGCCAACAACACACACCACCAAGTTATTCTAATAATTCTCATCCAAATCTTATGTTTAACTTTGCAAAATAAAACGGCTATATTTCTGGGATACATCTAAAATAGGTTAAATGACCTTAAAGTAAAAAAAAAAAAACACAGTGATGAGATTTGCATTATTAAATATTATTATCATTGTTAACAGCGCCACATACAGAATATGGCATATATATTACATCGTTTTCACTCAGTGCTCCTTTGTCATTTGGACGTGAATATTTATTAATCCGACACGTGTGTGGACGAGAATTTTTTTCAGCCTGCAAAAAAAATAATAATCCAGGAGTGTTGTCATGTGGACGTAGCCTTAATGTAGGGTAGAGCTGTTTAACCTCATACTGTGGAACATTCCAGGCAGAGCAATGGCACAACCACAGAAACAAGCAGGACCCTGACAGAAACGTCACACAGCGCGTCTTTAAACGACAGTGCAACAACAGGACAACAGCAGCGCAAGTGACGAGAGCAGACGTGACAGAGCTGACAGAGAAACATCAAACCAAACATCAGGCGTCATCTGTTACTTACTGAACACGGGGCCAGATTTACTAAGCTTTTGATCCAGTGCTATGTTTGCACCGCTCTTGTCTAAAAGGGAAGAGCATAGGGTGAGTGAAAACAACAGAAAAGTCAAAAGGAACGGGTTCAAAATAAACATGAGTGATACATGGACAAAATATATACAGAAATATAAAGTGCATATGACAAGTTAGACTGGAAAATTAGATTAAGTGTAGTTAACATTAATATGCAAATAAAAACTGATTAACAGGACTAAAACAGGACTGAACCAGGACTAAACCAGGACTAAAGCAGTACTAAAACAGGACTAAACCAGGACTAAAACAGGACTAAACCAGGACTAAACCAGGTCTAAAGCAGTACTAAAACAGGAGTAAAGCAGGATTAAACCAGGACTAAACCAGGACTAAACCAGGACTAAACCAGGACTAAACCAGGACTAAAACAGGACTAAAACAGGACTAAACCAGGACTAAACCAGGACTAAACCAGGACTAAAGCAGGTCTAAAACAGGTCTAAAACAGGACTAAACCAGGACTAAAACAGGACTAAACCAGGACTAAACCAGGTCTAAAACAAGACTAAAACAGGAGTAAAACAGGAGTAAAACAGGACTAAACCAGGACTAAACCAGGACTAAAACAGGACTAAAACAGGACTAAACCAGGACTAAAACAGGAGTAAAACAGGACTAAACCAGGACTAAAATAGGACTAAAACAGGACTAAAGCAGGACTAAATCAGGACTAAACGGTACTAAAGCAGGACTAAAACAGAACTAAAACAGGACTGAACCAGGACTAAAACAGGACTAAACAAGAACTAAACAAAAACTAAACCAGTACTAAACCAGGATTGAACAAGGACTAAAACAGGACTAAACCAGAACAAAATCAGCACTAAACCAGGACTAAAGCAGGACTGAACCACAGGCAAAACCAAAACTAAATCAGAAGCAAATCAGGTCTAAACAGGACTAAACAAGAACTAAGCAAAAACTAAACCGGTACTAAATCAGACCTAAACAAGGACTAAACCAGTTCACAAACTATATTAAAGGGCTATCTATATTATATATTTATATTCTAACATGGCTTAAAGCTCACAAGAATCAATTTTGTGTAATATATACTCTTTAAAAATGTATCTATGTAAAGTGACTAGTGTTTCCAAGTTTTACCTCACAACCTTTTATTTTCTTGAATGTTTATACTGTTCAGATTGTAGTTCTTTATATGTAAATAATGTGTGGGTGTTTTGTTTTTTTCACTGTGTATTGAGGACATATTTTTTCATTATTTTCATCTTTTCTGTTTCACACAACAAAAACTTGTCATATGCACTTCATGGGAGACATATTATACAAAAATCTGACTGAATACTGAAGCTTTTCATGGCTGCATGCTGTTCACACACCACATCTAAACTGGGAATAAACTGAGACTAAACCAGAACTAAACCAGGACTAGACCGAGACTAAACCTGGACTAGACTTTTATATAACATGCCTGAATTAACGTGCTTAGGTATGTTTCTGAAGTACAAACATGACTATAAATACGCAAAAAACTTGATGAAATATAATATGTCTCCTTTATACAACTTAAAATACATAAGAATAAATAATGATTCAAACAAAATCTTGATCCTGGGTCCATAGCAACTACGAAACACAAAATTGAGTTACATAGTTTTTCGCTATGGTGCATGAGAATAACTTCACTGTAAATCTGGCCCATACCACAACGTTACCAAATTTAAAAAAAAAAGATAGAAATTGTTTAATGTGTGATCTTCTCTGCTGATTTTGCGCTAGAGAAAATGAAATTAAACAAGTAATTAGATAATCCTGTGTTACTGAAAATAGCAAAACAGTAGTACAATAGTAAATACGTAAATAATAGTAAATCTGCACTGTGTAACTTTTCGTTTGGGGGTCCATCATCAACTTGTTGCTATGGAAATGTCATTGTTGTGCGCTTGAAATGTTCCACAGTGTGACATTAAACAGCTCTACCTTACATTTATTCAGTTACAGGTGGTTTTATAGCTCAAAAATACCTAGAAAAACAGGAATTCTGACTGTGAGTGGCGTCGCCTCTCCACAGATCTGACCTGTAACCTGGTCTAGTTTGGTCTCCATGGAGATATAAAGCTTTAATGCCATACTGTGAAACATTTCAGGTTAAGCATTTGACGAAACCTCCAGCGAAAAAGTTAGACAATGCGCCTTTAAGTAAATTTTTTTTAAACTTTCAATCCACAAAATTTCTGAACAGGACTGAAGAGTAAAAGTATTTTTTATTAGTTTGAGACCTGCTGAAAATCTCAAAGAGTTAATGTTTAATATGTTCACACACTGAGAAAACAAAATATACAAAAATAATAATAATTCAGTACAAAATTCAAAACGCAAATCTGTATCAAAATCAGTAAATTTGAAGATTTATTGCGGTAAATCTCAAATACTCACCTGCGAAATGCCGATCTGAAGTCCCTTTAGCTCCAAACTTGGTGACCAGTTTCCCGTTGGACTGAAAGATGAAGACGCAGCAGGCCTTGTTGTCCACGGTGATGATGTGTCCGTTCTTATCCACCGCCACGCCTTTGGGTCCCATCAGCCTCCCCGCTCCGATTTTGTTCTGGAAAATAAATAAAATAAAAATCAATAATGGTGAATGAAGGTTCAGCTGCATAAATAAGGTGTAGGAGGAAGACAAATGTGTGAAGAAACAAACAAAGGGTGTCAAATACAATCCGATAGTGTATATACAAATATTAAAATACTCCGCGGGTCTAAACCTGGACAAAATATATGCAGAAATTTAAAGTGTATATGATAAGTTAGACCAGATACTTAACTAAAATGTAGTTAACATTAATATACAAATAAAAACTGATTAACAGGACTAAACCAGGACAGGACTAGCAATAAATCAGGACTAAACCAGGTCTAAACCAGGACTAAAGCAGGACTAAAACAGGACTGAACCAGGACTAAACCAGGACTAAACCAAGACTAAAACAGGACTGAACCAGGACTAAAGCAGGACTAAAGCAGGACTAAAGCAGGACTAAACCAAGTCTAAACCAGGTCTAAACCAGGACTGAACCAGGACTAAACCAGGTCTAAACTAGGACTAAATCAGGTCTAAACCAGGACTGAACCAGGACTAAACCAGAAATAAACCAAGACTAAACCAGGACTAAAACAGGACTGAACCAGGACTAAAACTGTACTAAAAAAGGACTGAACCAGGACTAAAACAGGACTAAAACAGGATTGAACCACTACTAAATCAGGACTAAATCAGGACTAAACCAGGTCTAAACCAAGACTAAACCAGGACTGAACCAGGACTATACCAGCAATAAACCAAGACTAAACCAGGACTAAAACAAGACTGAACCAAGACTGAACCAGGACTGAACCAGGACTGAACCAGGACTAAAGCAGGACTAAATCAGGACTAAATCAGGTCTAAACCAGGTCTAAACCAGGAGTAAATCAGGACTAAAACAGGACTGAACCAGGACTAAAACGGAACAAAAAAATTTCATGTCAGTTAAAAATAAATATACCGTAATTTCCAGACTATTGAGCACACATGAATATAAGTAACATCAACTCAATTTTAACTAAATTTTTAAATTGTACATATATCAGCCACACCTGAATATAAACTGCAGGTGTCCACGTCTTCAAGAACGTTTTCAAGTTGGGGTCGTCTGCTTTTATCGCCTCTGAAAACTTTTGTCGTCTATTTGCGTTGAGTCAGTTCGTCACGCTGCCGTCGCCAAAATCTCACCATCGACTCACGACTGATGCCGAGCTCACGTGCAGCAGCTTTATTTATTTATTTTAAAAGCTGCATCATCTGTATTTCTTCGTGTGTTTTTCATGAGGAGGGTGTGTGTACGAAGCGGAAAATAACTGTTCAAAACACAAACAAACGAATCTTCCTCGTCTCTCTCCTCGCGCATGTCTCCTGCAGAAAGAGCCTCTGTCCTGTCTGTATCATGTCAGTGTCTTGGAGGAGTTTCAGCAGATTTCAGACTCTCTCGGGGGCGGGGCTAGTTCTATCAATCAGGTATGAGTGGATGTCTGACTACTAGAGATGCGCGGATTGCGGTTACAGCAGTGGTGTCCGCGGCTAAACTGCGGATCGGGCGGATGACGTGACGAAAAATAATATTTTAATTAAATTCGGGTGGGTGGCGGTTTAACTACTCAAAAAAAAAAAAAAAAAAATGTTATAGCCTATATCAGGGGTGTCAAACTCATTTTGGTCTGGGGGCCGTATCCAACCGACTTTGATCCCAAAGGGGCCGGATCAGAAAACTCATGTCATATAAACCCCAAAAATAACAATAAGTTCAAATATTTGTGCAGAGAAACACAAATCTATTACAGAAATCTTTTTTAATTGATGAACTCTTTCTTTTACAAAATATTATAATATTATGAACAACCTGAAACTTTAAGAAAAATACAATTTCAACACAATGTTTCAACATGAACTTGTATGTAAATAGGAATAAGTCAGTTTTTGTTGTAAAATCCTGCACTCAGCTCCACTTTTCTCATGTTGGACATTTTTCTGATGAGGGTGTCACGGTCAACAGTCAAAACGATCGTCCTTTAAGAGCGTTTGGAAAGAGACAAGTCTTCATTTGTGCTGCTCTGGTGGGAGGGGCCACGTACAGAGACGCTGGAGACGCTGCTGTGATAAACACCACAGAAAATTACCAATATTTTAATAGAAAATATAATTAAAATATTTTAGTAGAAAATCAGCCGAGGGCCAGATTAAAGGTCTTGGAGGGCCGAATCCGGCCCCCGGGCCTTATGTTTGACACCTGTGGCCTATATTGTTAAGTGTTATGAGATATGCAATATACTCCTATGTGCAATGTTTAGAGCGGCGTGTGGCGTGAGCGTGACTGAGTGACTGCGTGCGCGCCCCCGAGGCACGCGGTTCTTGAACGGGCCCTCGGAGCGTACGGGTGTCTGTGTTTTTCTGTATGTGAAATGAATTGTAGGAAGGCGACCGCAGCGAGTCAGGAAGCAATCGCCCTGTTATTTAGTGCATCACGGCAAATAAAGCCATGATTCTTGAGCAACGAACTGGCGCATTTATTGAGCCCACAAACTCACGGTGAGGTTCCGAACAGGGAGTTAAACCCTGAGCAGCGAGCGGCGTTTTGTTATGGACAATTAAGAATGCGAACATGCACATTGAGCGAATTTTGGAATGAATGAGCTATAGAGTTTGCATTTTTATCGAGGCTCCTTAGTTTGTTTGCTATATGATTGTTCTAAAATCAATGGGCGGATGTTGGTCAAAACCTTGGGTGCAAATGGACAGCGGGCGAATGATGAGTTTTGTGTCGCGGTTGCGGATGAAAAAAACAGCCCATCTACGCATCTCTACCGGCTACTGAAGTTTGAGATGTTTCTTCTCTTCATTTACGCATACGGGTAAGACGTATCCCCCTCACTAATGTTCATTTAGCATCAATAACTTATTTTATCACACGGGGATAAACTGTTTTAGTGTTAATAACATCTCTAACAAACGCTGCAACTTCATGTGAACCCTAGATCCATGTGTTACCCGCACAGACGGCAGCGTTTTCTGCACTCAGGCTGCGTGTATCCGCTCTGTTGCCAAACCATAAACCGTAAATATGAATGAACAATGTGCCAAACAAATAATCCGTCCATATATTCACCGGATTGTTTTATAAGAAGCACGGTTCAAAGTGTGAGGAAAAAAAAGTAGTGGCTTATAGTCCGGAAATTACAGTACTCAGTTGCTGTAGTTTGTATAAAAAGTGGCATTAAATTAAATTCTTATCGATTTTGCTCACACACCCATAAAAGTCACCTCACATTCCTTTTAAAAACCCTGTGTAAATCTGGTGTTATAGAAGCTTTTTATATCACAGCCTGATATAATCACACCAGAGCTCAACAGGAGACTTATCCACACCGACTCACCTTGAACTTTCCATCGGAGGAGAAGATGCTGATCCACCTGTTGTCGTAGTCGGCCACGATAATGTCGCCGTTGGAGTCCACCGTGACCCCCGTGGGGCGCTGCAGCTGCCCGGGGGAGCGACCTCTGACCCCAAACCGCATCTTGAACTGACCGTCGTTGGAGAAGATCTAAAAAATAAAGCATGACTAAAAAATGTGTCTGTTTGTTGCAAGGCTTCACATCCCGGTTACAGATAAATTACTGAACATTTTCAGTACTTGAATCGCTGTCACGTGTTTTTTATAGTACTTGCTGAGAAAGTCTGTACCTGTATACACTGGTTGTTGCTGTCTGCCACCACGATCCTTCCGTTACTGGAGGCGGAGATTCCCTGTAGGTTTGTGAACTCCCCTTTGTCTCGCCCTCTGGTCCCTGTGAAAACCAAAACACAAAACTGAATCACACCATTCTCAACAGTAACCAGATGAAGTATATTTAATGAGTGTTGGGAGTAACGTGTTATAAAAGTAATGAATTAATGTAATACATTGCTTTTTGCTGTAACACAGTCATGTTCAGCATTACAGAAAAAAAAAAAAAGTTATATTTTACAATTTACAAATGTCAGTAACACGCGTTACAATGTTTTTTTTAACCTGGATTTAAGTGGTGGGTTTTCATTTTTCTTCATACAAATTCGCTAAAATCACAGCGACATCAGCAGCGGTGAAACTCTGGAGGTGCACCCACATAGACCGCGAGCAAAAGGACGCCACGCTCCACGGGGCGAAGCGCAGCCGACGCCCGATCACGCCTTGCAGACACCCTGCTCCATGGGCTCTGCGTTCTCTCAGGGGTGGCCCTAGATTCTTCTAGTTCTTCTAGTTCTAGTCCAAGATTAGTCCTGGTTTAGTCCTGGTTTAGTCCTGGTTTAGTCTTGGTTTAAACCTGATTTGATCCTGGTTCAGTCCTGGTTCGGTCCTGGTTTAGTCCTGGTTTAGTCCTGGTTCAGTCCAAAATCAAAACTGAATCAGAGCTAATCTGGTTCAGTTCTGGTTTAGACCTGGTTTAGTCCTGAAAGTTCAGCATCTTCACAGTTATTTTGGTGAGAATAACTTAAAACTGCTGCAATAATCGTGTTTTACATTTTAAATGCAGTAATATTGTAATGTAACAAATTACTTTGAAATGACAGTAACAAGTCATAATAAATAACACATTACAGTTTTGAAGTAACTTGCCCAACAGTGTATTTAACCACTATCATCTATCCAACTGTGGGGCTGCAGCTTTGTAGTAGCTCTATGTAACCTTCTCGAGGTTTGTGGCTTTTCAGTGCAATAAACACAAACAAAATGCAGTGACACTTAAGATGCTTGTTTCCTCCCTGAATTGAACTTTCTGTTAAGTGATCTTATCTTCACTCTGTTGTTGTTGACACTGACCGACTCTGTAGATGAGCTCGTCCTCGATGGGGTTCTCCTTCTTCTTGGTGGTGCTGTACATGCTGGAGGGTCTGCGCACGGCCTTCTGCCTCACGTGGCCTCCTCCTCCGCTGGGAGACTTCACCCTGCGCTTCACGTCGTCCGGAGACTGGAGCAGGTCTGAGGGTTTGACCACCCTGAGCCTGAAGGGACTGCCCCGGACAGGCTGCTCGTACAGGGTCAGGGAGAAGGAGAACTCCCCCTCCGAGCGCACCGTGTAACCCACCTCCAGAGAGCAGAGGAAAACAGTTTAGAATCAGAGCTTTATAGATCGCAATAATCTGTAGAATTTGAACAAAATCTGATTTAAAATACGTCTATTCTAAAAAGGGTCATGTGCACATTAAATAGCTTTTTTTGTTTATTTTAACTGTATCTCTTTAGCACTATTACCGTTAAAAAATGTAATACAATCACAACTGAACCTGTGCTGCCTGAGCCTTAACCTGCAGATAGGACACATAGAAGTTTTCTTAGTTTTCTGGATTCTTAGTATGGACAGGCCTCATGTGAAAGCTCAGAACCAAGAACAAAACAACTTGTCCATCATGCCCAGTGTTTTTGTAATGAAGATTAAATCAGAATTACAATTAAAAGCTATATTTGTTTTGATCAAACTTCATATCCATGGCCACAGTGAGGTCGTGTTTATGGAATTTCAAATAAAAATACAGTTCCTTTAATATTACTTCATTACTGTATCTTTCGGACTATAAGTTGCACTTTTTATCCTAGTTTGAGTGTTTCCTGCGACTTACACTCCGGTGCAACTTATATATTAAAATTTTCACACTGACAGCTGCTAGAGGGCGCTCTAGGCTTGTGTGTCAGTATCTGCTGTTCCTGTTCCTCCTGTACCACTGTCATTTCACTCTACTGCACATGTCTCCTGCAAAAAGAGCCTCTGTCCTTTTCTGTATCATGTCAGTCGATCGCACCATTACTACTGAAACACTGAAAAGTACACTGAAATTTTAAAAAATTATACAAACTTATAAAGACAACTGAGAAGACTGACCACAAATGCCCCCAAAAGAAAATCATATTTTGCAGATTACAAGCTGCAAGTAGCGAAATATGCAGCTGAAAACGGTAATCGAGCAACAGAAAGAAAGTTTGGTGTGAGTGAGAACCCGTGACACCGGGAGGATGCACCATGGAACTTTCCTGGAAGTCACTGGATGGATCAACAAAGCCTGGACTTCAGTGACACCGAAACCATCCTGTTGGGATTCAGAATGACTGGAATAATTCTAACTGGAACTGATGCTGAGTCTGACGACAGCGACACAGAAGAGGAAGCGGCGCTCTGTTTACCTCTGGAGGTCATGGAGTTGCTCAGAAGTGACACCGAGGATGAAGAATTGAATGGATTTAGTGATTTGGAGTGAGATGGAGAGTTTGTTAAACTTGTTCTGTTCTGTTGTTTATGTTATAGTTTATCTGAAGAACTGTTCATATGTGACGTTAACAGTCTGTTGTTCTCTGTTCTATTGTTATTACTAGAACTTGACTTTCAAGATGAAATGTCGGTTCCTGGTCTCTGATTTTATAAAATAAATTTCCCCCAAAAAAGTGGGATTTATATGTTTTTTTTCTTCTTCATTATGCATTTTTTGGCTGGTGCGACTTATAGTCTGAAAAATACAGTACTCCACTTTGCATTAACCTTAACATTACAGTCTAACATCAGGACTGTCCCCACCTCGTACGTTCCGTTCTTGTTGTCCACCACCTCGGCCTCGGTGGTGCTCCCGTCTGCAGACAGGATCTCTGCTTTCAGGATGGCGTTCCCGCTCTTCACCAGCTCTCCGTCCTTGTCTTTGGTTGTCACGGTGACGGTGGTGTGCTGTCCCATGAGCGCGTGCCGTAGCCCCTCCCCCGTGGCCACGCTGGTGTGACCCACGGCCCCGGACGTGATCAGGACCCCCAGGTTCTGGATGGAGCGCCTCAGCCCGTCCGTCTCCACCTGCAGGACATTAAGTGGAGAGAAGAAAGTCAAAGGTAATGGCAAGACAAGTGCACAATTCGTACACAAAGTAATTCAAAGTCTTTTACAGAATAAGAAATACATTAAAATCACAATAAAAACAAATCAAAACTTAAATAATCATCACAAAATTAAATAGAGAGAGTCATTAAATTAGAGAAGAAGATTGCGGAATGAAAAATGAAAACCTTTCAATCATGTGCAGCTAAACAGAATCGTTCTGAGCCTGGATTTAAACAGAGTCAAAGTAGAATCTGTCTCACATGTTCAGGAAGACTGGTCCAGGTTTTAGCCGCATGAATCTGAAACTCTGACTCATGTTTAATCCTGACCCTGGGCACCAGCAGGAGGCCGGTCCCTGAGGTCCTCAGAGTGCAGATGGTTGATGTGGCACTAACATGTCACAGATGTACTTCGGTGCTCAGCCACAGAGAGACTTGTACATAAGCAGAGCCACTTTAAAGTCGATTGTCTGAGCCACAGGGGGCAGTGCAGAGACCTGAGACCAGGACTTATGTGCTCGTACTTCCTAGTTCGAGTCAGGACCTGAGCTGCAGTGTTCTGGATGTTCTGCAGCGTCTCACAGCTCGTTTGGAGAGACCAGTGATCAGACCATTACAGTATCTAACCTACTGGAGACAAACGCATGGATAAGTCTCTCCAAGTCTGATTTAGACAGTAAACCTTTGATTTTTCTTTTTTCTGAGTCCATTATTACCCCTAGATTTCTTGCCTGATTTCAAATTTTTAACGCTGTTCATTCTAATTAGTAATTTTCATGAAATAAAAATATATAAATTCAAAACATTAAAAAGAGAAACACAGGACACAACAGGCAACTTCATTATGTACAATATAAGATACTTGTATTTGTACAGGATAAAACTAAAAATCTTATGTAATTTTATGTATTTTGGACTAAAAATGCAACAGTTGGCCATTATTCATTCGCTCCCCAAACCACTTTAGTAGCCACAAATGCCCTGGGGCTGACTGAGGAAAACATGGCTGCCAAACTGCGCCAACAGCATCAACATTCAGTCACACTAAAACACATTCAAATTTAAAGCCATATCCTGTAACTTTTAGTAAAGAAAGTTCTGTATGGTTTTAGTATAGAAAAGTAAATGAAGCAGTAACACTGGTGCGCCACAAGTCCAAAGTCACAGGTCAGATCTGTGGAGAGGCAAGGCTACTCACATTATGAACACACGTTTTTCAAGGTATTTTTAAGCAATAAAAACAGCTGTAATTGAATAAATACAGTAAGATTCATAAAAACTATGGGCTGGATATTTTAAAAACTAACCTTAAACCTAAAAAAAAACATTCATGGCAACTGAAAACAAAAATGAATACAAATAAAGGCGTGATTTTTGCCTAAATCAGCGAGCCTGACCTGGCACTGCAGATGGGCGTTCTCGTGGGGGTGCTCGGGGAAGCTGTGGCGGGCCAGAGCGCTGACCCTCTCCCCCATCTGCTTCTGCACCAACAGCACCTCCGTGGCGCTGCCGTGGCTCAGGGCCTGCTCCGTGAAGTGACAGCTGCTCTCGATGTTCTCTTTGCCCTGAAGGAGCGAGGTCAGCTGGGCCTGGAGCACCTAATAACAACACAAAGATTATATATTCAAACCAAACATTCATATATTAGGCACTTGATCACTCGTTGTACGTTCTTTCATTAATGGCGGATTTTAGGTTTTGTGATTTTAGGAATGTGAAAAGGAAACATCAGGGAGACTCACTCACAAAGGCTACGTTCAGACTGCAGGGCTTAACACTCAATTCCGATTTTTTTGTGAAATCCGATGTTTTTGCGAGGTCGTTCACATTTCCAATTAAAAGCGACTTGTATGTGACTCCAGTGTGAACGTTAAACGGCCTGAAAGTGTCCCGCATGTGCACTGGAGACACGATGACGTCAACCGCAGCGAGCGTGCTCTGTGTTTACGAAAGTTGTCCAAACATGGACGCAGCATTGAGCACCTGGAGATTTTAAATTTCCTCTCGTCCCGGAGCCAGAACATGAACAACTTACTTGTTTTAAGGAGGAGATTGAGAAGGAGAAGGACGAGGTTTTTGGCCGTGGCGTTTTGTGGGACAGCGGCAGCGACGTCTGTAGAAATGAACGTGTGGATGTGGAAACGTAGCCAAGAGTGGTGAGTGGTGATGTGCTTCGCTTCAGTGACACGGAGTTCATTAACAATTTTCGCCTACTTCAGCGCAGAATAGTGACGTTTGTGGCTTGTTGATAACGTGTAGGTTGAATGAATGCGCTTTGGCCGTTCAGACTGAAGTCGCATGTCAAAAGATCAGATATGTATCGGTTTTAGCACCACATATCCAAGTGTCCTGGGTCACATTTGAAAAAATCGGATCTGTGCCGTTCAGACTGTCATTAAAAGATCAGATACAGGTCACATAGAGGCCAAAAAACTGGATTTGGGTCACTTCAGGCTGCAGTCTGAACATAGCCAAAAAGACAAAGCAAAACAGGAAAACCTAAAATCCGCCAACCTAAAACCACTGTAAAAGAAATAACCACATTCTGGATTGGGACGGGGCTCGGGTCGTTGGATCAGAAAACAACAAGTTCAAACGCTGGATCAGGGAGGACAGGGAAATCAGTAAACGAGGCACGGACAGCATTAAACTGTGACCATGACCATAACCATCCTCCTGACAGCACCGGGCGACGGGAGGCGTGATCAGCCTGATGGACCTGGCAAGTCGCTCAGACTGACCACGCCCACAGGAAGTAACAACAGCTGATATACAACACATCACCATCAACACCGGGGACAGTTCTGAAGATGACTCGCTGCAGCAACCGAAACATTTCAACAAGGTAAATGCACTTTACTGTATCAGGTTTAACTCGCTCAAATTTAAGACTTTTTAAAGACCTTTTTAAGACCACTTAAATGAAAATTAAGACCAAAAGCACCTATTATACGGGCAAAAAACCTTTTGTTATATTTTTGTACCTTTTTGAAAATTTGAGCTGTAGACGGTTCAATAAATAACTTCTATAACTCATTAAGTGTTTCATTTATTTATTGCAGTTTATAGTAGAGTAGAAAAAACTGAGGCACTCAAAAAGTACAAAATATTTAAAAGCCTTTAATACCAAAAATCTCTGCCATCTGGTATTAAAGGCTTTTAATTATTTTGTACTTTTTGAGTGTCTTAGTTTTTTGTACTTACAGTAGCTTATAGAAGTCTACTGAAAAAAAAAAAGGCGAAAATGTGAATACTAATCTGAGTCTCACGCCTTAAAGCAGATATCACAATATATCAGTAACAAAACTACATACATTCATAACACAGATGAAGTGTCTTGCTCAAAGGCACAATGACACTATTTAATACAAGTAATGGGAATGGTTTAAATCAGGTTACCCCCAGGTTTGACAACCTCAAATTTAAGACTTTTTTAAAGGCCTTTTTAAGACGACTTAAATGAAAATTAAGACCAACATCACACCCATTATGCGGGTGAAAAACTCCAGATCCAATTCTAATAATGACCAACCAACTAAGAGCCAAGAGCCACTGTGGATTAAACCAACACTTCCCCATGATCCATCCAAGGTCTTCCTCCACTCTGCTGCAGGCACCAGAAACCAAAGTATTGTTTGCGCAAACTCCAAATTAGACGTTTATTCATGTTACATGATTTGTCATTGTTGTTTTTTTTTCCTCCCTCCATTTAACGTTGCATTGCAGCCTGGTTGAGTTCACAGAAAAATAGGCTAATGAAATTTAAAACCTTTGTGGAAAAAAATAAGACTTGGACAACATAATTTAAGACTTTTTAAGGCTTTAATTTAGGAACATGGAATTTAAGACCCCGCAGCTACCCTGTGTATTGTCTTTAAAAAGAACCCAAGAAGCTGAAGTACATAAGACAACGAAATGATCATCTTGGGCTGTCGCACATCAAACTGATCTGTGTGTCACTCTGAATTGAGTTCTAACACATTAACAATCTGGAAGAGCTCTCCCTGAAAGCAACTGGAAAACACAGGGCATCATGAAGATTATTTAAATCCATTCATCTGTGCGAGGTTAGTGGTATTGTGTCCCAGTACAAATATGTTTATAAGACAAAGACAGTGTGTGAGTTTGTAGCTCTACCTTCTGTTTGGTGCTGCAGATGTTGTCCACCTCTGCGATGAGGGCGCTCTTCCTCTGGTGCAGGGCCTTCTCCAGCTCTTCAAACGTGGAGCTGATCTCAGTCACGGCCTCGGCCTTCCGCTCGCTCAGCTGCTTCCAGATCTCATTCACCAGGTCGATGGCGGCGGTCAGCTGAGGTAGTCTGGACACGACACGGGCAAATGAGGTCACCTGTTTACACTGATACTCTGTTTTTAAACATTACCAAACCGGAACACACACAATAAATAAATAAACAAGTGCCCAAGATTGAGAGAGACTGCCACATTACTCACGCATGGACGACATGTTAAACCTCTTCTTGCATGTTTTTGCTCCAGCCTGTACCTGTTTCTCACTGTGTCCAGCTGGTTCTTGAGCGCCATCTTGTGTTGCTCGAGCACGTCTCTCAGAGGCACCGTCACGTGCTCGCGGTGCTCCCCCTCAGTGCACTCCAGACACATGGCCGTCTCACACGACTCGCAGTAGAACTCCATCACCTGCAGGGGGCGCACGGAGGAGTCAGGCTCATATCCAAAATGAATTTCATCTTTATGCCAAACTTGTGGACAAAATAAGACTTAGACTTAGGATTTGTGATCTCATCCTTTTGACAATATGCATATTTAAAGGTTGTATGGAGGATTTTTTTTTTTTTTTTGTTTCAAATTGTCAATGATAGCATTATAGAGGTGCAGTAGCCTTGTAATTATGATGACCAAAAAAAAGAGAATAAAAATTCATCAACTCTGGATGTGGTGGGGCTAAACATTTGCCAATAGATAACGACACTGCCTCGTTATCTGTGAGCTGACAGGCTGTCAATCAATCTCCCTACGTTTCTAGCGTAACTGACTTGCCTGCGCGCCGCCGGTACGTGGTTTACGTACGACTGTCACGCAGTCCACAGACGCAAGCCGCACAGACGCTGTTTACTCCACCAACGCAACAGTTCTTAGCGGCTTTTTTTGACCTATATCTTCCTCGCAGTTCGCACAAAGTTTGTTGCAATGGCGACAAGAATCCAGGAGCAGTTCGCCGCAAAAGAAAGTCCGTTTTTGAGGTCGCTGAAAGAAGAAGACAAGGGGAAAAGCAGCGAAGCCAAACTAAGGTGATTCTTGAAGATTCATTCCAGCGATGGTGCAACTGAAGCAGACGCAGAGTCTAAAGACTGACGCACTGGTCCACAAATTACTCCTGGACAGGAAACTTCTGCTTATTATGAAAACGTACTTTATTTCCAAGAGCTAGACAAACGTTTTTTCAGGACACGAAAGCGATATCCTATGTCTGAAAACGTAATTTTCAAGGCAAAGAAAGAGTCCGCTTGCTGCTGCGTGTTGTAGCTAGTTCATTCGCACTGAATCTCCGCGCAACCTTCTCTGCTCCCCTTTCCTGCTCCTGTCCCCGCTGCCCGTTCCGCTCTTCCCCCTGCTCCTCACTTCTCCGGGCACGGAATCTCCGCGCACCGCTCCCCTCTCCTCTCTCTCCTCTCCTCTCCCTGCTCCGCTCTTCTCCCTGCTCCTCACTTCTCGTCCGCGAACGAAATGTCCGCACACCCGCTCCCCCCGCTCCTCACTTCTCCGTCTTGCCTAACCAACACTGTAGTTAGTTGTTTACAAGTCATGTGCAGCGCACCGGCTGTAAACAAACCTGTTTCTGGCGTAAGGAGGAGGAGGGAGGAGGCGTTTCTACGTAGGAGCTGTAGGGGAGGGGGGGTGGTTTCACGCATGCGCAACATTTGAAAAAGGACAAACAGTCGCTGGATTTCTCGTTCCTTGGAAAATCCTCTATACAACCTTTAATGCAGATGTAGGTGGAGATGGGAGATATATCGGTTCCAGTATCAGTATCGGTGGATATCAATACAGATTTGCCAATATCAATACTGATTTTCAATCCCTCCGTCGTCCAGGTAGAATCCATGGCAAAAGGAGAAATTCAATTTGTCAACTGGACAAAAGTTTATTTTTATTTATTTGGTTGAAACTAACTTTTCTCCAGTTGACAAATTGAATTTCTCCTTTTGTGACAATATTCAATACAGTTTTTTTTTTTTTTTGTACTGTCCCATTCTCTGTGTGACCTTTCTGAACAAACTAATAACAATGGAAATAGAAGAGCGTTATACGGCTGAATGTTTACACAAACATGCCCTGAATAAATACATTTTGTTATTAATTTTACAAAAAGGAAAAGTTATTTGTGAGCTTTACTTTAATTTAATATATCTGTGGGCCTCGCTATGGATTTTAAATGCTAAATATCAGTATCGGCAAACACTGCTTGTTAGAGCAGCAGGCCAAATATCGGATATCAGTATCAAGTCACAAAAACCATGTAGTTCCCTCCCAGGCTATAAGCTCTACTCACGCTTACATCACAAACCAGGAAGACGTTTGGAAAGATGCGATGACAACTTCCCAGACCCAGTTTTCTTCATCTCCATGTCATTGTAGCGTTTCGTTATATTCAGCTATTCAACAATTACCGTATTTTCCGGGATATTAGGCGCGATTTTAAGCCTCTAACCCCATCAAAAAATGGCCGCGCGCCCCGCAATCCAGAGCGCCTCATACACGAATCCACTCGGGCGTCCCAGAACGACTTCAGTAAAGTACAAAAGCCGCAAACACACACGGAGCAGACAGTGAAAAACGCCCGCAGCCACACTCATCACTCCACACGGACGAGGAACGGAACGGAGGAACGAACCGAAAAAGCGAGCGCAATGTGCCGCTTCTAGACACGACTGAACAACTGAGTCACTGCGAACACGCCGACAATCCAGCGATCCCAGACAGCACCTCCCTACACGCCGCAACTGAACAAAGCCCAGAGTCACCGTGAACGTGACAAACAAACAAAACCACTGACCCATCCAACTGTTGTGTTTCCTTTAACTCTTTCCCCCATGAAGACGACATTTGACGACCACCTGAACCCTTAATAACGACTTTTGACACCTCCGCCGTATCACTAAAGACGAGATTTGACGACCTTTAGAAATGGCTCGGTTTTTCACATTTAAACAGAGACTGTGACAGGTGGGGGCCACTACAACCCACACTAGACTGACCAATAGGATTCAAGGATATGTTTTCGCAGATTTTTTCCGAAGTTAATCGAAGTAGTGACGATTGTAGCTTCCGGAAAAAACACAACACGAAACACGTGCAATGGAAAGATCGCGGCGCTGCGGCGCACAGTTTTAGAAATAATGAGAAGCGGACGTATTTTATGGATAAGTTGAGAGAAAGTGACTTTTATAGATTTCAAAGTGATGATGTTGAAGTTGATTATAAAGTGGAAAACAGCGATAGCGACGGACTTTCGGGGAGAAGGTGAGATGCCGCTGATGCGTCTGTGTGGAGTCCTGCGATATCCAAACAAACTATCTGAGCTTTATACTCGATTATGAACCAAAATTGCCCTGAAATCTGGATGTTGCCCAGGCCAGTCCTTTAAAAATATTTCAGTCTTTTTTTCCAAGATGCGATGTATACAGAATCGCTACAGAAAAAACGCTTATGCGGAGCTCTGCGCACGAGAAAATAACGAAGATGACAAATACTGGACACACACTGACGAGGAAGAGTTTTATTATTATATTATTATATTATAATAAGCTAAATGAGTTGAATAAATAAAATTTGAATAAGTTAAATGAGTTGAAAAGTTAAATGGAAAAAAATGATTGGGTGCACACAGGTGAACAACAGGTAAAAACAGGTGCACACTTGGCTGTACTGTATCTGTGATATGAAATCTGTTAAATACTTTGACAAAGTATATATTTAATTTTTTTTATGAATATAGTACTAGAACATGCAGATATCAGATGCTGAATGTAGTTTTTTGTTTTCGAGTTTGCACCTGACCAGGTAAACTCTCATTTTCAGTGAGCTGTTATACACCTATAAATGAGTTGAATCACATTTAAACATCCATAAATGAATAGTTCAGAGTCTAAGGTTTCCAGAGATACAAATATGTCTGTGTTACAATTAAGTTCATGAGTGTAAAAATCATTTATAATCACTCGTGGAAGTCTGTTTTCTTTTATGCAGTTATGCTCTATGGGTAGAACTAGTAACATATGTATGGGTTGTTCCTAGTAGGCGTCCAGGGGGGAAAGAGTTAAAGTCTGGTGCGGTTTATTTGTGAAGAAAGTTTGAAAACAGACCATTTAATGACAGTGCGTTTTATAATCCAGAGCCCCTAATAGCCCGGACAACCAGACCTCTTTTTCATCATTTCCCCACTGACACAAAACTCCAAGCGCACTGGGAACACGTGATTAGAAGAGATGAGGCGCCAAATTCAAGACGATTCCAAACAGCACATACGTACGTAGTCTTCATTTTACTGCTGATCACCTTTACTTCAGCAAACATCAAGAATTAGTAGTTTTTTTCAGCACATTCTGGTGATAAATTGGCGATTCTCACGATTATAGAAAATATCCCACGAACAATTACTGCCAACACTTTTTTATCACGATAAACGATATTATTGTTTACTGTCCCATCCTGAATAGTGATCATATATTTTCACATACGTCCCAGCCCTCATATGAAATCACAGATAGTGGTGGGGGGGTTGTACCTTCCCCTCGTGGTTGGGGCAGGACAGCGGTTGCCCGGCGATGGCGGCGCTGGCAGACTCCAGCACGTTACAGGCCTCGGGCTGGCTGCTCTCGGGGTTCCTCTGCAGAACCTCCATCAGGTTTGTGATGAAGAAGTTGTTCTGGAGAGCGGACACGCCCTTCTCCGGCAGGATGGAGGTCTGTCTGCACACGGGGCAGGACAGGGTCAGGGACTGGGGAGGGATGTAGTTCTGCAGGCATCTGGAAAACAACAATGAGAGTCAGATCAGGATGTACCGCGTTCTAATTAATTGATTTTTCTGTACTGTGATTGTGATTGGATTTGCGTTATTAAAAAAACAAAAAGAAAACAAAAAAAAACAAACCTATTTTCTTCATTATTTGTCTCCAAAACCAAAATGAAAAAACAAATAACGATTTGTTTTTTCAGTTTTCAATTTTGTGTTGAGGTCCTGGTCCTGATCTGGTCCCAGTCTGAATCCTGACCACCCGACAGTCTACGCGGGCGCACCTCCGGAACCGTCCCAACACTCAGTCCTGGTTCAGTCCCGTTTTAGTCCTGGACCAGTCCTGTTTTAGTCCTGGGTTAGCCCTGGTTTAGCCCTGGTTTAGTCCCAGTCCAGTCCTGTTTTAGTAATGTTTTAGTCCTGGTTTAGTCCAGTTTTAGTCCTGGTTCAGTCTTGGTTTAGTCCTGTTTTAGTTCTAGTTTAGTCCTGGTTTCGACCTGTTTTAGTCCAGTTTTAGTCCAGTTTTAGTCCTGGTTTTAACATGTTTTAGTCCAGTTTTAGTCCTGTTTTAGTTCTGGTTTAGTCCTGATTTCGACCTGTTTTAGTCCTGGTTCAGTCCCGTTTTAGTCATGGTCCAGTCCTGTTTTAGTCCTGGTTTAGCCCTGGTTTAGTCCCAGTCCAGTCCTGTTTTAGTCCTGGTTTAGCCCTGGTTTAGTCCCAGTCCAGTCCTGTTTTAGTAATGTTTTAGTCCTGGTTTAGTCCAGTTTTAGTCCTGGTTCAGTCTTGGTTTAGTCCAGTTTTAGTCCTGGTTCAGTCTTGGTTTAGTCCTGTTTTAGTTCTAGTTTAGTCCTGGTTTCGACCTGTTTTAGTCCAGTTTTAGTCCTGTTTTAGTTCTGGTTTAGTTCTGGTTTAGTCCTGATTTCGACCTGTTTTAGTCCTGGTTCAGTCCCGTTTTAGTCATGGTCCAGTCCTGTCCAGTCCTGTTTAGTCCTGTTTTAGTCCTGCTTTAGCCCTGGTTTAGTCCCGGTCCAGTCCTGTTTTAGTCCTGGTTTAGTCCAGTTTTAGTCCAGTTTTAGTCCTGGTTCAGTCTTGGTTTCGACCTGTTTTAGTCCAGTTTTAGTCCTGGTTCAGTCCTGGTTTAGTCCTGTTTTAGTCCTGGTTCAGTCCTGGTTCAGTCCTGGTTCAGTCCTGTTTTAGTCCTGGTTTAGTCCTGTTTTAGTCCTGGTTTAGTCCTGGTTCAGTCCTGGTTCAGTCCGGATGCGGTGCAGAAGTCCAACATATTCATTTAAACACCAAATTGAAAACTGAAAAACGGATAATGATTTGGTTTGGTCATTTTGGTTTTGGAGACAAATAATGAACAAAATTGTAGTTTTTTCATTTTCTTATTTTTGGTTTTATTTTGAAAAACAAATGAACATACGCGGATTCTGTCGTGGTGTTTTGTCCTGTGTTTCGTCTCGTGTTTGTGTGTTTTTCTGGACAGCGCGTGTGACTTACTTCTCGCAGAAGGTGTGGAGGCATGGCAGGACTTTGGGGTTGTGGTAGTGGTCCAAACAGATGCTGCACACCAGGAACTGTTTGTCGATCTGCCTCACCACGGGGCTGCTGCTGCTCTCACGCTTGGCCATGGTGGAGGACATCTACAGGAGCCCGGACACCTCCAACACCTGAGGAGACACGAGAGGAGAGACGCTGAGCAATGATACGAACGCCGCAGGGGTAAATGACACGAGAAACACATCCACAATATGACAAAAATACACTACACTGTCACAAGGATTGGAACACCCTAATTTTTCCAGTTATTTATTGCAATTCAGGTCATGCGAGTCCAATGAAGAGCTTGAAATGGTACGGAGGTAAGAACTGAACAGCCAGAGGTTTAAAAAAAAAACAAAAAACACAACTACCTCAGGAAAAAAGAACAGAAAAAAGTCCTGTTTTAATCCTGTTTTTGTCCTGTTTCCATCTGGTATTAGTACTGTTTTATACATGGTTTCAGTCCTGGTTTAGTCCTGGTTTAGTCCTGGTTCAGTCCTGGTTCAGTCCTGTTTCAGTCCTGTTTCAGTCCTGTTTTAGTCCTGTTTTAGTCCTGCTTTTAGTCCTGCTTTAGTCCTGCTTTAGTCCTGCTTTAGTCCTGTTTTAGTCCTGTTTTAGACCTGTTTTAGACCTGTTTTGGACCTGTTTTAGACCTGTTTTAGTCCTGTTTCCATCTGGCATTAGTACTGTGTTATACATGGTTTAGTCCTGGTTTAGACGAAGTTTAGTCCTTGTTCAGTCCTGGTTCAGTCCTGTTTTAGTCCTGCTTTAGTCCTGTTTTAGACCTGTTTTAGTCCTGTTTTAGACCTGTTTTAGACTTGTTTCCATCCTGTTTCCATCTGGTATTAGTACTGTTTTATACATGGTTTAGTCCTGGTTTAGTCCTGGTTTAGACGTAGTTTAGTCCTGGTTCAGTGCTGTTTTAGTCCCGTTTCCGTCCTGTTTCAGTCCTGTTTTAGTCTTTTTTTTTTAGACCTGTTTTAGACTTGTTTCCATCCTGTTTCCATCTGGTATTAGTACTTTTTTGTACATGGTTTAGTCCTGGTTTTAGTCCTGGTTAAGTCCTGGTTCAGTCCTGGTTCAGTGCTCTTTTAGTCCTCTTTTAGACCTTTTTTTAGACCTGTTTTAGACTCGTTTCCATCCTGTTTCCATCCTGTTTTAGTCCTGTTTAAATCCTGTTTTGGAAATTAGTCATTTGGTTTTAAGTTTCATTTGTGCAAAACGTAAACAAATGTGCGCAAACGGTCCAGCGTCAAATCGTCAGTGCAGGACTCTGGTACGATGTAAGTTTCTGTGATATTTGCAAATGTTCATGTGCACTAAAACTTTGCGGATGAAATCAAAATCGCAATATCTGCCGGAAAAATCACAATTCAATTTTTTGTGAAATTCATTCAGCCTTATGCCATACTGTGAAACATTCCAAACAAAGCAAAAACATCTCTGTGAGGAAAGGAATTTGACGAACCCTCCCACCAGAAAAGTCACACAATGCACCTTTAAGTACAGTATTTTACTACTTTTACTTTGTTACGTTCCCTCACTGGTAAGGACATATGTTTTAATGTTTTTCAGTGCAATAATGGCAAATAATAATACTGAAAAAACATAATCAAATGCTGCAGTGGACGTATAAAGAAAGATTACAGATCATACAAAGCAGCAGCCTGAATGGAACTGGTACCAGAGTCATGTTTGAGAAATTAAAGTAGCTGGATTAAAGAGAAAGATAAATGATCCTCCTCATTACTCTCCTTTGTTAAAAATATTATGAGGGCAAATCATCTAGAAATCCTTTATCAAAACCTCTCATTTAGTCATGAAAACCCAATTAGACCTTTGGACATGCTACAGCAAGAAAGTGAGAGAAGAACTCGACCTAAATATGCAGGATTTGTGTGTTGAACATGTGTGAATGAAAGAAAACACAACTCCAGCTCTGTTTGTGATGAGGAAACAACATTATAACACAGATCAGCCTTTTAATGAAATTGGCTGAAAAGTAAATATTTGTGTGTAATTATCTTAACTGGACCACAGGAAGAACAGCATATGTTTGTCTGTGCGAATGAAGATCCTATCAGTAAACAATAAACATGCTTTTATTTTGGACTATTGTTTGGTAAAAAATAGTTGTTGCTTTAAATAAGAAGTGGGCGACATGACAAAAAATAGCTGTAGATGTTCATTTCCTCATATGATCAATCACAACTTTCAATTCTCTACAGTCTCTACAGCAGTGTTTCGCAAACTTTTTTCTGGGGACCCGTATTTTAAAAGTCACAAACCTTCGCAACCTAAATCAACAGACGTTATTCGTAAATCAAAAAATAAAATACAGGTGGATTTTACCATTACTGAACATTAATGAGGATATTTTATTGTTGACTAGGGATGGGCATGATTAATCGATCATTAAGAATTTCATCGATTACGTTAATTTTAATCAACAAACCGAATGTAGGTTGCTGTGTGTAGTGTGACCAAACGGGTCCGTACATGTGTCTCTCTGCACTCAGAAGGAGCGAGACACAAACAGTGGGTCAGTCTGCAACGTACCGAAGCACAAATGTGTATTTAACGATGATTTGTACAAGAAATTCCACGCTTTTCATTGCGTTCGGGACAAGTGTGAGTCCATGTGCACAGTGAACAAAGCAGCACATATGTTTCGGTGTCCAGTGGGAAAAAGTTTTACCAGGTGAGAGTCGCGCAATGTCGATGACGAGTCCCCACCTCCCTCCCCCCGTACGGTGTCCTGGTTTTGACAAACGCAAATCTGGTCACACTAACCTGTATTCACCTGAGTCGTGTCTTTTAATCCGACAGAAATTGACCACATCAGCGACACAAGAGCTGTAGTTTTATCTTCGCTTAGTTTATTTAAATTAGCAATGCGGTTTTAAGTTTTCGTTTCTGTGAGAGTTGCACAAAACTGAATTAAACACATTATAATGTCAAACGGGCTGATGTGGCTCTAGAGTCGTTACGGTTTATATGTCGTAAAGTTGAATTTATTTATGCAGATTAGTAGTGCAGATAGTAATAATAATGATGATCATTTTAATATAAAAACGTTAATGATTAATCGATAATCCATCATTAATTCTTACGATGATCAATTAAGAAAATTTCATCGAATGCTCATCCCTATTGTTGACTGAGTGATTGTGTCTCTGAACAATTAGTATTTTTAAACAACAAGTTTTAAACAATGAAAAACAGAAATTGAAGCAGCAATAAAAGGATCCATAAGTCTCCTATTTGGACATTTCTTTTCAACACTCAACTGAACCAGCAATATTGGAACAAAATCGTCAATAAAATAATTACAAAAATATTAGAAATTATACAAAACATTTCAACATTTCTAATGAGATAGGTGGGCCTGTCTGCGTTTTTGTAGCGTGTTCCAGTCCAAGGTGCAGGAGGAGAGAGCAACACACATGCTGTATATAAACATAGTCATATTTCTGTAAATGCTGCACTGTTACTTTCATTGTGCATAATAATTTTTAAGTCTATTTTTTATTATTTTTAAGCCTTTATCTATTATCGGTTTTATTGCATGTTAAATTTTTTCCTGCTGTTCTTGAATTGCGCGTTGCAACACTGGAATTTCCCCACTGTGGGACTAATAAAGGCATATCTTATCTTATCTTATCTCAGACGACCCAAAAAAATTCTTTTGCGACCCACGACCCAGTCTTTGGGAAACAATGCTCTACAGTGTCTAGAAACAGCTCTGGTCCAAACTGCATTTGAAGTTTCAGCATTATTTACCACAAATTAAAATTCACTGCCAAATTCCTTACTCATAGTCATAGTTTTTATTTAAGCGCCCGAACATTCCGGACTTGAGTCACTGCATATCTGCCTTTGCCACTTCCACTTCCCTCCACAGTGAAGTCAGGTCCCGCGTCGTTTGCCCCTCCCGTCTGTAGTGGGAGTCACCAGACGCACACTGACCCTGGACTCACAGAGAAGAGCCTCTTTCAGCTCAGACACTGTTGCAGCAATTATTAAAAACATCATGCACTCTCTCTGTTGAGCTCCTTATTAAAACCATCATTTAGTTTTTCTTTATCACCATGGCAGCGTCGTGGTTGGCTGCTTTTGCGGCTGCCTGGCTCACGCACTGAGCAGTTTTTGAGCTCAATTTTTAAACATAATATCCTGGGATTTTGGCCAACTAAAAAGTGCAGCATGTGCCGTTCAAAGGACACACAGAAGGGACTGGTGGATTTTGTGAAACGAAGTGTTTGTTTTTCCCATATCCATGGACACAAAAAGGTTAGAGAAGGAGATAGCTATGAACATTTGAGATGCGTCAGGCTTTTTACACCATATGTGGCAACAAATGTGGCAGACGACCGTCCTGAGGAAATAGTTGGAGGGAAGGAAACATTTCAACAGAGCGAAGTCAGAAAGAGGCGTTTCCTGTTGTTCACCTGACTCCCCCCGATCGCTGCTGTGACGCTGAGGACACAGAGGAAGGACACTTTTGGCTCTTCCTCTCCTCAAACTGCCCTGACACAGATGTGCTGACGTTCCTTGACCAGTCCTCCTGTGAAACTGCACGGAGACCTTTGACATGCACAAGTCTAGCACCAGCGACTTCTGAAAATACAAGGACTGGATGGAATATTTTAAAAAGTGTCTCCACACGTCTCCAACACTCTGGCTCACTAGGAAATGAGGGCCTATGTCCAAAATTCCAGACTGTCCCTTTAAAATCTGTTAAGAGCTTGTTAAAGGTTGTATGGAGGATTTTTTGTTTTTGTTTTAAATTGTCAATGAAGTTTAAAATACCATTACAGAGATTAATTATGATGACCAAAAAAAAAAAAAAAAAGACAATCTATAAACTGTGGATGTAGTGAGGCCAGATAAACATCAGCCAATAGAAAAAAAGGCTACCTCATTTTCTATTGGCTGTTAAGAAGTTTGATTGACAACCTAAGTTTCTAGGGTAACTATGCAGCGGTTCTTAGAGGCTTTTTCTAATTGTAGCTTCCTCGCAAAGTTTGTTGCGATGTCGGACGAGAATCCACGACCAGTTCGCCGCAAAAGAAAGTCCGGTTTTTGAGGTCGCTGAAAGAAGAAGAGAAGGGGAAAAGGAGCGAAG